GGGGGTGGGGGTTTGCTCCATTGAAGCTGTTGGTTTGCGGGAGGGGACGGTGGGGCGGGGGGTTCAGTGAGAGATGTCGTCCCCCCTCCGCGGGGAAGTTTTTTTTGAGAAATCCCAGCGCATCAGTGTGTTGGGCGTTCATCCCTGTCCTGTAGGTTGAAGTGCAAGTTAAAAAAAAATTAAAAAAATAAAAAAGAAGGGGGTAATTCTTCAAAATCGGTCACTTGGACGCCGGGCCAGGAACGCGGTGGTGCCTGAAGATGTTCTGCTTCCAGAACTCGAGTGTTGGAGGTGCATCGTGGCCGCCTGCTCCAGCCCCACGTTGAGGTTGTCAGTGGTGGCGAGTTGTTGCTGATGCTGAATTATTCATTTAGGACCTGTAAACACCCCCAGCTTCTCTCGTCTCGGGGCTGCTGGAGGGCACAATGGAAGTGGCTTTTTTCTAGAATTATGCTGACTTGATGGTAAAGAACTTCGTATGTGTTGATTTTTCAGTACTTAAAAAAACTGAGGATATCGAGATGGTTGCAGTTAGACAAGATTCTGGATGGGTGTGTGTACTGTTAGTGTTAGGCAGGATCAAGTAAGTAAGTGGGTAGCCTGAACGATATATTATTGCCCCAAACCTGTTTCTTCTTGTTTCACAGATATGGTCGTAACAAGTGTTTTACTTTTCATGACTCTAAATAATGGCGTAACCTAAGAATTAAAAAAAAAAAAGGACAACTTACTACAATTAGAAGGGGATGTCTAGTTCTGAATACTTGCTATTGTGGCAGCTTTGTTGTATTGTGCAGTAATTTTAGATATGGTACTGTAATTATAAACTGCTGGAGCTCAGGTAGGGATTTTTATCCTAGGCTGTATGATTTGAGGAGGAAAAAAATCGGTGCTGTTATAAAAAACATTGTTATTGTGGCAAGTAGGATGGCCATGGACACAGCTCAAGTGCCTGAATAAGTGGACACATAGCGTTGTGTCACTGCACATAAGGACCGTACAGATCTGTTGCAATTTTGCACTGGAGTTTTATTCTGCAGAATGTTGTTATTCCTGATTAACTAAACAACCTTGACATTTGGAAAGGAAGTATGTAAAATTTGAAGTGGATTTCTAGCTGGCTGAAATCTCGTGTCTTGTGTTGGGGGATGAGAGACCTTCGTGCTTATCCCAAGGATTCAAAAGTTCAGAGGAAACAAGCCAACTACACTGACCCTTTTTGCGAAAGCGTGGTTAATTTTTTCTTGACATCGCTTTTCTTTGTGATACAGTATAGGCTGCTAAGGAAAAAAAGTGCTGTTGTGCTTTATGTGCAGTAGAATTTGCCTATTTGAAATATACTGTTTGATATTGGACACCAAAATACTTAAACTTGTTACTGCAGCATGGGAAAGAACAGCATTTTTGAATATTCTTTGTAAGAGTTATAACATGTTTTTTTTAATGTATAGAGAGGACAAGTGTTGCTTCCGCAATGTTACTTATCTCTAGCTTGTTAGTTATTGTATGAATCAATTACAGATTGAAATTACATGCACAAAATCAGAGTACGTTCACTTTTCTACATTGTGCTGCTGATGATTTATTTTAAATACAATTTATCTCCTACAGCCACTCATTTTAGTTGCTCTTTCTGGGCATATGTGTTTTTCATTGTGATCTAAAGGGATCTAGAAAACTCTCTCAAAAACTGTGGTAAAAGTAAAGACAGACTCTAAAGCTTCTGGTCAATTTCCTCCCCTTCACATTTCTTGTCATTCTCTAACTGCATCTTCCGAGTTGTTTAATTTCTCAGTTACAGCGTGAGTGAGAGATGCTCACAGGGAGGGGAAGCTGACTGCTTCAACTATGGTTAAATGCATAAAAGTGACTGCACGAGTCTTCTGTACTAGAGAAATTTTTATTATTTTTTTTCCTGTATTGTGTTCCTAATATTGCCATTTAACTTACTTTTTCAAAGTTCTCGGCCAAAGTTTTGGTGAAGTATTTTATTCCTCCTCTTTTATGCTTGCCTAGAAAATGGTTTTAATGAAGGTTCTCTTGCGTGCTCAAAAGACAATTTGGAGTTCTAGTGTGCGCAGCTACTTAAATTTAAGATTTTAACAATTGTTTAAGCTGGAAGGGATCTGTGCCTTGTGCAGGTGCACTGCAACACAGTACAATCTCACGAACAGACTAATAACCAGACAGTGGTTTCATAATGCAAACAAAGGTTTCCTGGATGCCAGTCTTGAACTCTTAAAGTCGTTTGTGTTCTTTACTCAAATCTGGGTCGGTGTTTTGGATGTCAGGCTATTCACTGAACGTGTTACCTTGTCTCCCTACTGTAAATGTTCCAGATAAAAATTCTGACCTATGCAGGACTGCTGTCTGTAAATATTTGCTTTGTGCTATTTCTAAATTATGCAAATAGCCAGGAATGTGCTGAATAGATCTCCCATTTTAATTTCTCTTTCCTTCAATGATTCTCCATCCAGTAATGATGTTTTGTGATGTTCCCTTCCTCTTCCGTGCTAGTTCAGTGTTTATCCACCATCTGTTAAATGACTACCACAGTCTGGGCCTACTGGGGCTTAAGTTCAGTGAGTTGGGGAGCGTACAGAAAGCTGAGTCTTACCTTGGAGCTATGTTTCCTCCCGGTATCCTAAGAGAGATTTCTACGTCCTTGAATAGCTTCATCTAAACCACTTGTGTGGTGTTGCCACTCCCAGACGGATTTGATATGCAGGTTTTTTTTTCTTCATGCTTCAGGAGGATGTTGGTCTATGTGGTTTTGAATTCAGTGACTTCACCTGCTTACGATTACAAAGGCTATTGCAAAATTAAGATACTGTATTGGTACAAAGATGCATCAGCCATCTCTGAAAAATCCTATTGTTCATAAAGCTCGGCAGTAAAAAATTCAGAAATGAGATTGTTATGCAGACAGATTACCTGAACAAACCGTTGACCAGAACTTAAAAGTTCTCTGCGTGTTGAGCAATTAGCCTTGGGTAAAATTGAAAATGAAAATACCTTTGCAAAGATAGCGAGGGAAAGAACACCTATAAATGAAAAAGGAAGGAGGAAGGTATAAAATACTTTAAACTAGTATGATGTCACTTTCAATACCTCCTCTCGTGCCATAACGTTCAGTTGTGCCTCATGCTGTGCTGTGGGGAAAGTGCATTTGGTTAATTCTCTTTGTAGTCTCCGTGGAGTCAGAATCCCATCAAGAGTTGAAAAGAGCCGCAGTTGCCTTCCCCGGCTGTGGGGCACAGGCCCTGCACCCCACATGAAACATCCACTGGGCCATTGCTGGGGGGGGTTCCTGGCCAGAACCTGGGGCTGCTTTGAGAAGTGGATGCTCTCCTAAATGGATCCAAATACATTAACATTTCAGGGAAGATGTCTAACAAATGTGAATATAAATCAACTAGGAAACCTACCGATTCCTGTCCTGTTTGTCAATGTTAGAAAGTTAAGCCCATATAAGTTCATTACAAGTTCAAGTGGTGTTCAGCAAATAGATAGGTGTATTATTACAGCTCAGCTGTATTCTTCACCTCATTAATAGTCCGGGGAGGGGGGGGGGGGGGAAGGGGGGGGG